TGGGGCGGGGCCAAGGGTAGGGAAGGGGTGGAGTTGGGGCAGGGCCAGGGCCCCTATGGAGTGTCCTCTTTTTTCAGTGTTGAAATATGGTAATCCTAGCTTATCATGACATGCACCATATATTACATCTCTTCCATGGGGTCATCAAGCAAATTAGGATTCATGACAGCACTGCTGAGGTTGTCAGAAACATGCATGTATTCACAGGGTGTATAAAAAACAGTGCCGCATTAACATCTTCCATATCCTAGATGACAACGGACACCCAGGCTTGTGGTCTGTCAGCAGATTGATCTACTTTCTCTGCTCTTTAACAGCATGACTCTCTCTAACATGCCTCCCACAACTTCCACTGGGGTCTGCAAGCCTCAGCTCCCAGAACTGGAAGGTAGCATGTGACAGTGAACAACAGTGATGATCTATGCAAGCAATAGAAAATAATCCAACTCATTCTCCCAGAGATATAGGAATTCTGCAATGCAAACAGCAGCTTAAAGGGAAATCTTTTAGTTGCTAAAGAAAGCAGGCATGACTTGGAGTACATACAGGCTGATCCAAATTATGCTCTGTAATGCTGATGTAAATCCCTTGACCTTAATGTCCCAATGCCATGTGTAGTCGATGGAGTTAGTCTTGATTTGTACTGGTGTAACTGAGAGAAATTGAAACCTATAACTGCAGTTTAAGGCCAAATCCTAATCTCTGATACATCTATATTTAACTTCTATTGACAGCATGTAGCTGAGGATTCTTAAACTGGAAAGGTGGTATTGATTCATTTCCCTCCTGTTTATAAAGTATGTTAAGTTCTGCTTCTCTTTAACAGCCTATTGAGGTACAAAAATAGCAGCTATGCTCAAACTCATTCCAGTGGGGGAAAAAATCCTAGTAAGTAGGTGTAGAAAATTGTAAAATTCTGTCTGCATAAGTGTCTTACAGAAATGTAGAAAAATCAAGTCTTGGCCATCGCTGGTCAGCTTGGAAAAGAGACTGCTGAGGGGAGATAGGATAGAGGGCTATTAAAATCATGAATGGTGTGGAGAAGGTGAACGAGATAGTGTTAGTTCAGATAACGAACAAACCAGGGTCACCCAATGAAATTAATAGGCAGCAGGTATAAAAACTAACATAAGGACATATTACTTCACACAACACACAGTCAGCCTGTGAAACTTGTTGCCACGGGATGTTGCGAAGGCCAAAAGTGTAACGGAGTTCAAAAAAGAATGATGTAGGTCAATCAATGGCCATTCTCCATGAATCCATTAGCCACAATGGTCAGGGACACAACCCCATGCTCTGGATGTTCCTAAAGCCAAATTGCTAGAAGCTGGATCATTGGATAATTCCCCTTTTCCGTTCATTCCTTCTGAAGCATCTGGCACCAGCCACTGTCAGAAGACAGGATACTGGGCTAGGTAGCCCATTGATCTTACCCAGTATAACTGTTCTTATGACTCATCACAGCTTGGATGACAGTTTAAATACCATACCTGGCTAATAGTACAAAAAATATATGTCCAAATATTCATTCATCTTTAACTTATTTTGAAAGTGTTTGTAACTTTGTCAATTTCCCACTGACACTCTAGTGTAGGAGTTTTACTGGTAGAAATGTTGGTAGAAGTGATATTAATCATATTGGAAAGTCTGTTGGAAAGCAGCTTGAATTCTGATTTTTCACTACTCATAATGACCAACTTGCTAATGAGGTACAGACAAGAATTCTTCATGATATTCAACTAATTATTTTCCTCTATTGTGAAATTCTTCCCAGCACAAGTGCTAGACACCATTTCAGTCCCAGTTATACAATATTCTGAAGACTTGAGTGGGACTGAAGGGGGTGCCTGGGCATCCACTGGCCCTCTACACATGGGTGAATTTCACCCATAATTTTTTTTTTAAATGGCAGTTGCTCATCAGTAATTCACAAACATAAGGAGGCAAAATTCATTTTAATAAATTACTTGACTTGAATTATACACCAAGTTCCCATAAATATCCTTTCCAAAATATCCATTACTTTTTGAATGCTGATTTAATTACTACATGCAGAGAAGAAACCCTCCTGATTATATATATTCCTGTTTGCAGAACACAGACCTGATCCAAATACTTGTGCCTGTCAGTAACTATTATTCAATGAGACTAGTCCTGAGTAAAATAAGTGTTTACAGGATGAGGCCCCATACTGTATTTGTAAAAATATTAACCTCTTTTGTTTTTCTTCTCATACTGAAGTTTAACTGTAATATGAATCATTTGTATCTGAGTCATACCATGTATGTTTATAGATAGCTCACTGTATTTACACTCATGAATCTACAATTTAGTACAGCAATCCAGTGAACAAAGCAAACTGGAAAAGTAAATTTCTTAAGCAATAATAGGCAATGCTAGCATGTCTTTTCTGTACAATTACTGCACACCCCAGGCACTGCTGTAAGGCAGAGTCAATGGCTGGGTGACTCAGCCATTTGATAAATGCTTTCAATCTCTACTTTATTGCTACTGTGAAATGAAAATTGATGGGTAAAGAAGAAATAATACCTGCACATTCATTAGTAATTGTTACTGTCTACTTTACATGGCCCTATCACCTTCCCTTTATGGATCTCAAAGATCTTTACAAACCTGAATTACACCATCTTTAGTCTTAGGATTCTTGAGTTATGGGCCCACTGAAGGAAATAGGTTGTCTTTCTATGACTTCTATGGCCTCTGGATGAAGCCCTATACATAACTACAATATTTGACAGATGGAGAAACTAAAGCACAAAGGCCAGGTCTACACTACTCACCTGAATCGGCGGGTAGAAATCGATCTCTCGGGAATTGAATTATTGCGTCTCTTCGGGACGCAACAATCAATCCCCGAATCGATGCTCTTACTCCACCAGCGGAGGTGGGAATAAGCGCCGTCAACGGGGAGCTGCGGAGGTCGATTTTGCCGCCGTC